AAGGAAGGAAGGAAGGAAGGAAGGAAGGAAGGAAGGAAGGAAGGAAGGAAGGAAACCAAATGCACACATTAGAGATCCCACAGAAAGTAAGGAAAAATCTCCACCGTGCTACTCACCAAGGTGACCTTCCTTTGTGGTTTCAGGAGTTTTGGCTTTGAGAAGGCGTGGGATGTTGGTGCTGTTAAAAATAAGGACAGATAACTGGCCTCTGGCTGCCATATGAATCCAGGCAAGAGTGAAAGGCACCTGGCACTCATTCAGCCCGCCTGCAGCTGGCCAGGATATGCCCCCCTCCGGATCTCCTGGGCGTCCCTGGCAGCCCAAGGCCCCCTTTCCCCACCCGGGGGGTGGGGGGGGGGAAGGCTGTGGCTTCCGTCTCCTCTGGGGAACGGCTTGGAGGAAACAGAAAGGCTGCACCCCAAACAGTTGCCAATCCTCCATTCAGGACGATTTGGAAGTCACATAAAAATAAGGATAAAAGTTATGGGAGATGGAAAAAGGAAGAGGGCAGCCCAGGAGAATGCAGCCCCTTATCTACCATAAAGGAAGGAGGATACAAGGGTTGGAGGGGATTTCGGGAGACCATCCAGCCCAACGTCCTGCATGCCTGCCAAGCGGCTCCCTGCTTAGACAGTCCAGCGAAGGAGCGCTCCTTCCTCCGGACACCCCCGTCAGCCTCCCTCCCCGGGGTCAAAGGGCTCCTAACCTCACAGATACCTTTGGCAGGAACTGCTGGGGGGCCTTCGGTCGCCTTGGGCCCTTTCCTCTGGGTGGGGGGCCCTGGAGGCCCGGCTGCCTTGCTGGGGCTTCCTGCCTCCTGCAAGCTGGGAGAGAGGGAGAAGGAGAGGGCCTGGTGTGCACCAGGTGGACTGGTAATCTTCAAATTCTCTTATACTCGCTGTCTTACCAATTCATTTGATTTATTTAATTCATTTATTTATGCATTCAAGTAAATAAAACAGAGAGAGTATGTTAGTGTGGGGGAGAATAATCAAAATCATTATAATTGGGATAACCAAAATATAGCCTGGAATAGTATAACTAGCATAAGAGTAACTCACATTCACCCAAACCTCTTCAGCCTCTTCAGCCTCTATCTCCCACCCAAAAGGTTAATCCTGCCAGTAATCCACACACTAAGAGCACAAGTAGCCTAAGCAACAAATCAGCCTCATCGGAGGTGGGCCAAAGCAACAATAGTTCAAGGCAGATTTATCCTCACCAAACGTAACAAGTGAAGGGAAACTAGGCCACGCCTAGGAGAGCCAATTCATCCTATCATTGGCACCTCAACTAGGGCAAGTAGGAACAACCGTGTTTAGCTAAGAAGAGAGAGAAGCAACCTAGAACTAAGGGGGAATTTCCTGACACTTAGAACAATTCATCAGTGGAACAACTGGCCTCCAGAAATTGTGAAGGCTCCAACACCGCAAGTTTTGAAGAAGAGATTGGACAACCATTTGTCTGAAACGGGTATAGGGTTTCCTGAAGCAAGGGGGCTGGACTAGAAGACCTTCGAGGTCCTTTCCAACTCTATTCTATTCTATTCTATTCCTTTCTTATTCTATTCTATATTCTATTCTATTTCTATTCTATTCTTATACTATTCTATATTCTATTCTATATTCTATTCTATTCTACTCTATTCTATTCCTTTCTTATTCTATTCTATATTCTATTTTATTCTACTCTATTCTATTTCTATTCTATTCCTTCCTTATTCTATTCTATATTCTGTTCTATATTCTATTCTATTCTATTCTATTCTATTCTATTCTATTCTATTCTA